ACCACCAAGCAACTAGAAATCAGGCATATGTCTCCCCTCCCAGCAGCTGCTGCTGGACCGCAGTGTTCCAGTAGCTCTGTTCCTCTACCTCAGGTCACAGCTCTTTTCACTCAGCCACTTTCTCATGTATCCCCAACTTTCACTGATTCTCTTTGACCTACCAGTTTCCCTGTAAATAGTCCCTCCATTAAACGTTCTTTAATGATCTCTTAAGTGGGTTATTTGTGTCTTGCCAGGACCAGAACAAATACACAAGACTTTGCTGGATTTTCTCCCGTCTTTTACCTCTGTATATTCATCTTTTCCTTTCTCCACTTCAAGAAAATAATGAGTTCTGTGATACATAGGGTTGCCATTTGTTGGAATTAAATCAACAGCAATTTTTTTTTTTTCATTGTCTCAGGATGGGAATATAACAGAAGGGAAAGTAGCAAAGACCTATGAAACCCACAGTGAAAGAGAATTTGAGGGTCATGTTCAGAATTTTGAAGTTATGTCCTGTCCAACACTCCAAGATTTTGAACATATGCCATACGCAATGCCTCCTTCAACTAAGACTAGAAAAGGATGTGATGAAATACGTAGAGGAGCACAGTTCAGCATGGCTCACATTATTAAATTCTCACATCCTGTGTTTTCTCCAAGGGGAGAGTATAAAAGCATGAACTGGTCAGTACTCTTCTATTTCATGATAATTTTTTATTGCTTGCTTAATATAGAGTAAGCCCAATTCCAGTGCCCCTAGTGAGAAAGGATAAAGTATAATTGGAGGTCATCATCAGAGGTATAAGAAAGCAAGGAGGTCACCACCAAGGTGATAGAAGTAGTGACTTTGTCTTGCTCATGGACATTGCTTTAGAATGAATCTGTTTCTTTATATACTTAAAAAAATATAGGAGGGGTGGTAAATCACCTTTAAAGTATTTAAAACATTTTGAGTTCAGAGAATTCCTCAGAAGAGCACTGGGAAATTACATGGTTATTACATGATTTTATTTTGAGTAGAAAATAGAAAGGATGTTGTTGAAACTCCCTCACTGTTATCTGTCTTTTGGAGGCTCTAAACTTGTATTGTTAGGTGCCATTGAGTAAGTTCCAACTTATAGCAACAACAGAACGCACAACAGAATGAAACACTGCTTGGTCCTGAGCCATCTTCACAACTGTTGTTATGCTTGATCCCATTGTTGCAGCCACTGTGTAACTCCATCTTGTTGAGGGTCTTCCTCTTTTTCACTGACTGTCTACCAAACATGAAGTCTTTTCTCCAGGGACTGAGACCTCCTGAAAACATATCCAAAGTATGTGAGATGAAATCTTGCCATCCTTGCTTCTAAGGAGCATTCTGGCTGTGCTTCTTCCAAGATGGATTTGTTCATTCTTCTGGCAGTCCATGGTACATTCAATATTCTTTCCAGCACCATAATTCAAAGGCATCAATTCTTCTTTGATCTTCCTTATTCATTGTCCAGCTTTTGCATGCATATGGGGCAATTGAAAACACCATGGCTTAGGTGCATCTTGGTCCTTAAAGTCCTTAAAGTGACATCTTTGCTTTTTAACACTTTAAAGAGGTCTTTTGAAGCAGATATGTCCAATGCAATACTTTGATTTCTTGACTGCTGCTTCCTTGGATGTTGATTGTGGATCCAAGCAAAATGAAATCCTTGATAATGTCAGTCTTTTCTCTTTTTATCATGATATTGCTTATTGGTCCAGTTGTGAGGATTTTTGTTTGTTTGTTTATGTTGAGGTGTAATCCATACTGAAAGCTGTAGTCTTTGGTGTTCATCAGTAAGTGCTTCAAGTCCTCTTTGCTTTCAGAAAGGAATGTTGTGTCATTTGCATATCACAGGTTGTTAATGAATCTTCCTCCAATCCTAATGTCCCGTTCTTTTTCATATAGTCCAGATTCTCAGATTATTATTATTATTTTTTTGTTTATTTTCTAAACTCTAATACATAAAAAATTAAGTCCTTATGAATTTATTTGCACTAGGCAAGGAAAAAAGCTTTCTCCTGAGTGGTGACCAAGAAACTACTCTACAGGAAAGAAGGAGAGAAAATGTTTTGTTTAGAAATCATTGGGAGATTAGGAAGCAAAAAAGGGAAGAAGGGGAAATGAAGGAAGTGGAGAGATGGAAAGAAGACAATAAAGAGAAAAAGAAAGAGAGTTAGATTGATTCGACCCTGAGAGTTTAGTGGACAAGAGGTTCAACTACTAGTGGTCCTGTAATAGAGGGAGTAAGAGATTTGAAAAAATGGTTTCAAGGCCTGCATAGACCGAAAGGACAAACAGGACCATGAAAGCATTCTCCGAAACATCAGTAAGAACAAAAGAAATTATCCAAAATAAAAAAGACCACAAAACAAGAAATCCAGGTGCAAATAAATATGTAAAAAGGAGCTCAAACTTATTTATACTGAGGCAAAGGACACACAGTCTCCAGATTTGCAAAAGTATGAAACTGACATTACTAAGTATTGGCAAGGATGCAAAGAATACTTAGTTACCCTTAATAAGTGTGTAAAATGCAAATAAAGCTTGAAAAGTTGTTTGGAATTATATAGAAAGGTGAAGACACACAAATTTGTAACCTAGCAATTTTGCTTCTGAGAATATCACACAAGGGAAGCTGTGTACATGTGTAAAGATTATAAGTGCACGAAAATTCGTGACAACCTCATACATAAACGATAAAAACTGCATAAAATACAAATGTTCATCAACCATAAATGGACACATTTTGGCATTTTCGTAGAATGGCATACTATGCAATAGTGAAAAGAAATAAATTATGGATACACATGATAAAGTGGGTGAATACTATAAATCTCCTGATGAGATGAACAAGCAATACACAAAAGAATACATACAATACAATTCCATTAATATAAAGTTTAAAAGCAAGGGTAAACTTATCTTTTTATTAAATAAATACATACAAAAATTATAAAACCATTTCTAAAAAGTGAAAAAAAAAAAGCAGTACCATAAAATCAAAATACTGATGAGCTGTAGTGAGGTTGTAACAGGGTGTGATATGGGCTTTTAAGTGTCGATAAAGCTTTGTTTCTTGACCTGGCAGTGATTCCACAAATGTTTACTCTATGTTCATTAATTTTATTGTACATTTGTGCTTTACATACTGTTCTGCATAGTTCATGAGCTTGAAAAGATTAATAGGAGATGAAAGAGAAGAGGGTATAACTTAACACAGTTTTGCTATGAAATGGAGCAAAAAAAAAAAAAAAGCATGGTAGCTTCATTGAGATGTGGGATATGCAGTGGCCCTTCATTTCCTTCTTCCTTTCATTTTTGTATATAGGACATAATAAACTGTATTTGTATACTACTTGGAATGACCCTGTAGTTTTAGCAAAATGATGCAGGAAACAGATGAAATAATTGTCAAGCTGAGCTCCTTAGCAGGAGAGACTGGTAAGACTTATGGGAACAGTGGGGTGGATCTTTTGATAAGGTTGGGAGAACTCATCTTTATTACAGTAGAAAAGAGTGAGATTTTGTCAACAAATCGGATTGAGGTTGTAAATCTTGTGGTGAATATTAGAAATTTTATTTATTGGGAGGAGTTAGGCTATTACTCAAGATGACCCCCAAGGAGGCGTGATCAGCCTGCATTATCACTGGTTCCAAGCTAATGACAGCTTCCCCAGAACAACACTCACCATGGTTCTGTCCTGCCAGGCGATTCATCAGGTAAGACTTTCCTGTACGATATGGGCCTACAATGGCCACCACCACCACAGGCTGAGAAATCTTGTCAAGAATCTTCAATGCTTTTGGATTCACCATCAGCTGTTCATTCTGGTTTTCTATTAGACAAATGGGGGCCTCCATGATGGGTTTAAATGCCATGGTTTCCTGCAAACCCAGAAGAGTTTATCAGTAAAGTACAAGATCCCAAAGTCACCTCTAATGCTGTTCAAGTCATGTGCATATTGGCTTCCTGCTTATATCAACTTCTACTTTTCGTACACTTCTAAGGCACAAGTATGTAGCTTGGCATTGGCTGATCATAGAGCTCTTCCTTCATCACGCCTATAATGCTTAATGATATTGAGGACAATACTTAGGGTATTACTTGTCTCCAATGACTCACTTCTCTGGAAATGATATTCTAATTATGGAATCCCTTGGGGTGACAAGCCATGGTACAGATAACTTACAACATTATCTTATTGATCCTTACAAGAATCTTAAAATTTAACAAACTTTGTCTCTTTTTAAAAAAAACAAAAACAAAACTAAACCTGTTGCTGTTCAGTCAATTCTGACTCATAGCAGCTTCATAGAACAGAGGAGAATTGCCCCATAGAGTTTCCAAAGAGTGGCTGGTGGATTCAAATTGCCAATTTTCTGGTTAGCAGCCAAGCTCTTAATCACTATGCCACCAGGGCTCCTTAGTAGATGTATAATGGCAGTATAGACAGGCTGAATGATTTTCTTATGCATGTATAGTCAGTCAGTGACAGAAGTAGGTTTGAATACCAACCTACCTGTCTTGCTACACAACCTACTACCAAAATTTGCTTGTCTGAATCAGCTTCATCAAATAAATTTTTTTTTCTTTCTGATTAGTTTCTTGATAGAGAAACTGCATGATTTTTCTTGACTATACACACCAAATGACAGAGCTCCAAAATACATAAAACAAACTCTAACACCACTGAAAAAAGAAACTGACAATTCCACAATAATTATAGACTTCAACACAACACTCTCACTAAAGCACAGAATAGCTAGAAAGAAATTCAACAAAGATACAGAAGACCTAAAGACCACAATCAACTAACTAGACCTTATAGACATATATAGAACAATCCACCCAACAGTAACAAAGTATACATTCTTTTCCAATGCACATAGAATGTTCTCCAGAATAGACCATATCTTAGGCCACAAAGCAACCCTCAACAAAATCCAAAACACTGAGATAATACAAAGCATCTTCTCTGATCACAATGCCATAAAACTAGAAGTTAATAACAGTAAGAGTAAGGAAAAAAAAATCAAATACATGGAAACTGAATAACACCTTGCTTAAAAACCACTGAGTAATAAAAGAAATCAAAGATGGAATAAAAAATTTCCTAGAATCAAATAAGAATGAAAACACATCATACCAAAACCTTTGGGACACAGCAAAGGCAGCACTCAGAGGTCAATTTATAGCAATAGATGCACACATCAAAAAAGAAGAAAAGGACAAAATCAAAATCTTAACTTTACAACTTGAACAAATAGAAAGAGAACAGCAAAAGAAGCCCATAGCCATCAGAGTGGAAATAAATTAGAGTATAGAAAAACAATGGACAGAATCAACAAAACCAAAAGTTGGATCTTTGAAAGGATCAACAAAATCGACAAACCATAGGCCAAATTAACAAAAGAAAAACAGGAGAAAATGCAAATAACCCAAATAAGAAATGAAATGGGGGACATTACAATGGACCCAACTGAAATAAAAAGGATTATAAAAGAGTACTATGGAAAACTATCCTCCAACAAATTTGAAAACCTAGAGGAAATGGACAAATTTCTAGAAACACACTATCTGCCTAAACTAACACAAGATGAGGTCAAAAATCTGAACAGACCCATAACAAGAGAAGAGATTGTAAAGGTACGCAGGTATGCAAGGATGGTTCAACATTAGAAAAGCAATTAATATAATTCATCACATAAATAAAACAAAAGAATCACATGATCATCTCAATCAATGCAGAAAAAGCATTCTATAAAATCCAACACTGATTCCTGATAAAACTTTCCAATAAAATAGGTATAGAAGGGAAATTGCTCAGTATAATAAAGGGCACCTATACGAAACCAATATCATTCTTAACAGAGAGAGGCTGAAAACATTACCCCTGAGAACAAGAACAAGAAAAGGATGCCCTTTATCACCATTCCCATTTACCATTGGGCTGAAAGTCCTAGCTAGAGCAATAAGGCAAGGGGGGAAAAAAAAAAAGGCATCCAAATTGGTAAGGAAGAAGGAACACAATCCCTACTTGCAGGTAATATGAACCTATACATAGAGAACCCAAAGGACTCCTCAAGAAAAGTGCTGGAACTAATAGAAAGATTCAGCAGAGTAGCAGGATACAAGATAAAAATAAAAAATCAGTTGGATTCTTATGCACCAATGAAGAGAACTATGAAAAGGAAATCAAGAAAGAAATACCATTTATAATAGTCCCTAAAAAAAAATAAAGTTAAGAATAAATCTAACCAGGGACATAAAAGACCTATACAAAGAAAACTAAAACACTACTGCAAGAACCCAAAAGAGACCTACATAAATAGAAAAACATACAATGTAATGGATAGGTAGACTCAACATTGTGAAAATGTCATTTCTACTCAAAGCAATCTACAAATACAATGCAATCCCGATCCAAATACCAACATCATTCTTTAACCAGATGGAAATACTAATCATTAACTTTGTACGGAAAGAAGCCCTGGATAAGCAAAACACTACTGAAGAAAAATAATTAAGCAGGAGGACTCGCACTGCCTGACCTCAGAACTTCCTGTTACAGCTATGGTGGTGAAAACAGCCTGGTACTGCTACAACAACAGACACGTTGATGGCCCAGTGGAACAGAATCTAGAGCTCAGATGTAAATCCATCCACCTATGGTCACCTGATCTTCGACAAAGTCCCAAAGTCCATTAAATGTGGAAAAGACAGTCTTTTTAACAAATGGTGCTGGCAAAACTGGATGTCCATCAGTAAAAACATGAAACAGGACCCATACCTCACACCATACACAAAAACTAATTCAAAATGGATCAAAGACCTAAATATAAAACCAAAAACTATAAAGATCTTAGAAGAAAAAATAGAGTCAACGCTAGAGGTCCTAATACATGGCATAAATAGTATACAAATCATAACTAACAATAAACAAACACTAGAAGATAAGCTAGATAACTGAGATCTTCTAAAAATTAAAAACTTATGCTCATCAAAAGACTTCACCAAAAGAGTAAGAAAAGAACATACAGACTGGGGCAACATTTTTAGCTATGACATATCTGACAAAGTTCTAATCTCTAAAATCTGTAGGAAAATCCAACACCTCTACAACAAAAAGACTAAGAACCCAATTAAAAAATGGGCAAAGTATATGAACAGACACTTCACCAAACAGGACATTCAGGCAGCTAACGGACACATAAGGAAATGCTCATGATCATTAACCATTAGAGAAATGTAAATCAAAACTACAATGAGATAGCATCTCACACCGACATTACTGGCATGAATTAAAAAAAAAAAAAAAACCCACAAAATAACAAATGTTGGAGAGGCTGCAGGGAGATTGGAACTCTTATGCACTGCTGGTGGGAATGTAAAATAGAACAACAATTTTGGAAAATGATACGATGCTTCCTTAAAAGATAGAAATTGAAATACCATGTGATCTAGCAACCCACTCCTAGGAATATATCTTAGAGAAATAAGAGCTGTCACACAAATAGAAATAAGCACACTTATGTTCACTGCAGCATTATTCACAATATCAAAGAGGCAAACAACCTAAGAGCCCATCAGCAGATGAATGGATAAACTATGGTACATATACACAATGGAATACTGTGTAATAATAAAGAATGAAGATGAATCTGCGAAGCATCTCACAATATGGATGAATCTGGAGGGCATTATGCTGAGTGAAATAAGTCAATCACAAAAGGACAAATACTGTATGAAATCACTATTATGAAAACTAATGAAAAGGTTTACATACAGAAAGAGACAATCTTTGATGTTTACAATGGAGGGAAGGGATGGGGAGGGAGAAACAGTAGACAATAGATAAGTGGGAACTTTGGTGAAGGGTAAGACAGTAACCAATACTGGGGAAGTCAACGTAACTTGACCAAAGCAAGATCATAGAAGCTTCACAGACACATCCGAACTCCCTGAGGGACTTAATTACTGGGCTGAGGGCCGGGAACCATGGTCTTGGGGAACATCTAGCTCAACTGGCATAGCATAGTTTATAAAGAAAATATTCTACATCCTACTTTGGTGAGTAGCATCTGGGATCTTAAAAGCTTATGAGTGACCATCTAAGATAGTCCACTGGTCCCACCCCATCTGGAGCAAGAGAGAGTGAAGAAAATCAAAGACACAAGGGAAAGATTAGTCCAAATGACTAAAGGACCACAACTACCACAGCCTCCACCAGACTGAGCACAGGACAACTAGATGGTGCCCAGCTACAACCACTCACTGCTCTGACAGGGATCACAATAGAGAGTCCCAGAATGAGCTGGAGAAAAAAGTAGAACAAAATTCTAACTCACAAAAAAAGACCAGACTTACTGGTCTGACGGAGACTGGAGAAATCCCAAGCGTATGGCCCCCGGACACCCCTTTAACACAATACTGAAGTCACTCCTGAGGTGCACCATTCAGTCAAAGATTAGACAGGCCCATAAAACAAAACGAGACTAAATGGGCACACCAGCCCAGTGGGCAAGGACAAAAAGGTAGGAAGGGACAAGAAAGCTGGTAATGGGGAACCCAAGGTAGAGAAGAGGAGAGTATTGACACGTCATGTGGTTGGCAACCAATGTCACAAAACAATATGTGTATTAATTGTTTAATGAGAAACTACTTTGCTATGTAAACCTTCATTGAAAGCACAACCAAAACTATATATATACATATATATATAAACCGGGAAGAAATTAAAGGAAGAGAAAAAATATTTCTCATAACTATTCACATATGAAGTCACTATAATAGATAGTATAATATGAATGGATCCTCTTATTTCTGTAGCATCATTTTATAAGCTACTGAGATGTTTCTAGACCAACATGTCTATTTACAGATTTGGTGTCTCATAGAGGATGTAAGGTCAAGTTATAGTTTGTGAAAGTCGTGACAGTCCATAACATGCCATCCAATTTCTTATGTTTATTTGCTTATTCATTATATTTAATAAGTCTGGTGCCAGTTTAATGCTCAGGATATAAAATGTATAATAGAGTCCCAACATTATACCATAAATTCTGTATCAGCTTGGGTTTTAGTTTATCTGTGAGTAATAGAAAAGCCCTAGAAAACTATTGCTTAAATAGCTGAAAGTTTATTTCCTTCTCTCATAACTGTCCAAGAGAGTCCGTGGCTCTGCCTCACAAAGTCATCAGGGGCACTAGTTTTTTTTCTGTTTCTTGCTTAGCTTTCCTTTATCATGCCTCCTTATGGTTCAAGATGGCTCACCTCCACATGTCAGGGACATAGCATGGCCATAGAAGTATTTGCTTAAAAAACATTTACTTGTGTAAAGAGGCAGTAGGTGTGGAATTCCAAACAATGGGAATGAAAAATGTAGTATTGTGTCTGGATTAGAAAGAAATTTTTCAGGGTGTCATGCATCCCCTACTCTGTGTTTTTGGTATGGGGCGAGTGGAAGAGAAAATTGAGATGACACAATTGGATACCTGAGAGTTAAGAGCTAGAGTCTTATCTTGCTCTGTGAGTAACTGGTCCCTGTCCTTCTCCATCTCCTCAATCAATTGCTTCACATACTCCTGGTCACTCTTTTCTTTCTGTCCCATCATTTGCTGATACTTTATTTCCTCCATCATTTCTTCTGGAGTCTGTACAGATTCAGCTTTCACATGTTCCACTGAAATGGAATAGGAAGAAAAAAATCATGTAGGATTGCAGTTTTGCTTTCTTCTTCCTCCCACACTTATTTGTTATTGTTACTATTTCATATAGGAAGTTCGCTGGGGTCATTTTTGGGGGTAACCTTAATGCCACTTGCTGTATTATACACACTCAGAAAGGGCTTTGGGAGCTAAGACATGTTTGCTGTCCTTGCTCTAGTTGAATGATCCCAGGTGTACCAGGTCTGGGAAGAGGGAGAGTAATTACCCAAGGGCTTCTAGGAACAGAGAAGGCTGAACCTCATTTTATACATCCACTCCCCCCAGATGTGAGCTCTCCCTGCTGCCGGGACCCTGGAGCCCCATCAGTGCCTAAATACCATATAGCCTCTACCCATTTGTGAGCTGTACAATGTCTATACTCTGAAGCTAGGTTAGTTGTCTCTGACATTGTTGGCATATGAGGACTTCCCTCTTATTGCAGTCATTATGTGACCCACTGACAATTGGCAGGAATGATGCTTAATTTTTCACAAAGATTTTGTTTAGTCTCCCTGTGATTTTGTCTATGTTCCCAACACTCCAACTCCATTACAGGACACAAGTAAAGCCTTGGTTAAGAGCACGAGGTTGAGGATATATGAAAGGGAGGTGTGGGTAAAGATGAAAAAGTCAACCCTGAATTGAACTGGCCGAATATCTCCTCATTGTAGAATGCATCCCAATTACAAATTTTACAGTCTCTCTAGGCTCAATGTGCATGACTGCAAATCCAGTTTATGATTATCTTTAATATTAGTATTAAAAATAAGTATGAAATGAAAAGTCTCAGTAGGTAACACATTGACTCCCCACTTAACTTGCATCTTTGCAAATTTATGGCTCAAAGAAAAGGAGCAGATATGATTAGATAATTTAAATTATCTAATGTTCTGAATTTGCTCATCAAACTTATGCCCTGGTGAGAAGATGTGGAAGAGGAAAGCTCTGTTCTTTGTATTATTAGATTATAATACACAATAGACTTGTCTCTCTGTTTCTCATTTGAAGATCCTGGATCTCTTCCTGGAGTTTTATTCTCTCCTCCCTGAATTCCGCCTTGAGACATTGTTCCTGTTCCTAAGGAGGGAAAGAGGATACTGAGTCTCACACAGCATAAAACAGGATCACTAAACTTTATAACAAAATCACCAAATTAGTTTCCTTTATAATACAGTACTTCCATTAATTCCTCAAGATCTTTTTGACACTCATTCTTGAAATGCTTTCCTCTTTTAACTTCCATTATATCACTTTCTTTTCAGTCTTCTATCCTTGCTATTAATTTTTCTTGCACCTTTTCTCTAGGTTAAGAATTGCTTTTTTTATTATAGTCTCTGAAATACTGGTTTCCTAGAATTCTATCCATGTACCCTTCAACTCACACTGAACACAATAGTTTATATTAATTTTCACTTTTTTTTGTTTTTTGCTTCAGTTCTCACCTGTATAATATTTATTCTCATGTATATGACCTAGAAGGAAGGTTGAAATCAAATGGGAATATTTCTACATGGTGCTCAGAATTAGGGAAGATTTCTGATTATGGAATTCAGTTCAATCCTCTAAAATATGGTGGGAGGAATAAGATGAAATATTTGATGAGATCAGGGCCTTCAGTAACTCACTCTGTATTTCTGAGACAACAGCTAGATTCAACATAGATTGAGAGTAGGGCCTAAGAACAGGAAGGTGCTGCAATACTGGACACTTAATCCGTGTGGTTAAGTAAGTGGATGGTTTGGGAAATTTCCTACTCATTAGGGAGCTTACAGAGATAAAGTCATACCAGGTATGACAGAAACAAAATTACTATAGATTCCACTAAGGAGGAAGAACAGGCTACATATTTTTTCATGAGGTATTGCCCAGAAAAGTAACATTATCTCTCATGAAATTACAATTTCCTCATTTAAAACTGAGTATGTAATAGTTCCTGTGCTATAAAATAAAAATTGAAATATGCAAGGCATGTAAAACACTTTGTGTAGGGCCTGGTAATTTATAGTCACTGTTTATTGAGTGTTGTGATAATGAAAGATTCCATCCAAATGTTCATGTATAAGATAAGAAATGGGTAGAATTAGAAGCAGTAAGGTAATGTGCAGCTGACTTGAGTGTCTAGGCTAGCAAAGGACTTATTCTGGGGATAAAGCTATAACCTTCATGCTGTGTTTTTGATTAGCAGCAGTGGAAGGAAAAACTGAAATGACACAATTAAATACCTGAAGTTTAAGAGCTAGAATCCTCTCTTGGTCTGCCAACAATTGTACTCTATCCCTCTCTATTTTCTCAGTTAATTGTTTCATATGCTCCTGATGACTCTTTTCTCTCTGTTCTGTCATCTGCTGATGATTTATTTGCATTTCCTCCAACATTTTTGCTGCAACCTGTGCAGATTCAGCTTTCACACGTTCCACTGAGGAGGAAAGGAAGAAGAAAATTCATGTAGGGTTGCAGTGTTACCTCTTTTTTTCTTCCTGCACTTACTTGTTGTTGTTGCTACTTCATAGATAAAATTTCCTCTGACAATTTTTCCTGCTGACTGTATTATGCCATGCTCAGAAATGACTTCCTCAGCTAAGATACATCTTAGCTGTTCTTGCTTCACTTTGATGATCACAGGTTTATTTGGCCAAATTATTTAAAATTTTAAGAGCATTTGCGGCTATCTAGTTTATTGATTTGCTCCTCACATTCAATCTCTTTTTCCTTTTCTGTGAGAGTCAGATCTGTATGTAGAATTGCATCAGTAACAGGATCCTTGGACATCAAGTATTTCTGCAGAATTTCTTCAGCCTTAGGACCCAGAAAACACAGAGTTAGTAGTGGGAAATGGCTGTGAACATTTCCTGCTTTTCATTGGTCCACTATCTTTTCCCTAGGGACTGCTCTTTTGGGGCTGGTAGGCCTCGTGGTCAAGCCTCCTTGTCACAGGTGGGCACATGCCCTGTCTGGCCAATCAAAGCATTCCACTAAGCAGAGTTCTTTATAGAAGTCTGATGTGGACACTGAGAGAAAGAGAGTCTCTGTCCTTCTTAGACTAAGGGCTCTAACTTTGGAGTTATTAATGAAATTGTGGCTACATATGGAGTGAGTTTGCTGGAGGATGAATACATCATTTGGTTTCTATCCTTTGCCACATCAAATGGTCTGCTACAGTAGTGGGGTATCCTGATAAGTAATCTCAAAATTCAATTTATAACTCAAATGTGAGTTGAGTGCACTCTCTTTGATGAGCAACTAGGACATATATGGCATAACAGGCTCCACGTAAGTGTTTATTGAAAGTAAGAGTAAATGCTATGCAGACAATAAGGTGCATCATCTGTGTGCAACTATCCTTGGTCACACTGGTGTTCTAAAGAAGCACCTCAGCAACTTCCCAGAATTTACAATTAATCTTGGTTACCTGTATCCCCTTCTTGGGTTCGTGAAGGTATTTTTTCTTCAGCTCTTGTGTCTTCTGAATAAAGAGGTGATACCCGCCTGGTTTAGAATAAATCCTCTGCTTCACTTCTTCTTCTAGAGGACTAAAAATATCCTGAAGTAAAGCTGAGCAACGATCCGATGATACTTGCAGATTCCGTTTACAAAGGTCATCCCACTTTTTTTCTAGCTGTATCTTTAATTAAAAATAGAGTGATGATAACAGAAAAAAGATGTTAGAAGACCTCAGAAATTTTGAGAAATGCTTATCAAGAACTCTCTGACCACTAGAAACTTACACACAACCTACCAGAAAGATATTCTTTCTCCTGACCTGGACTTCGTAGGTCCTTTTTTGTTGGAGGTAATGTTAAGAGTGAAGATTGTGAGGTAGAGCCAACATGGAACTATAGACAGATGCACAATGCTGTCCTTCTGCAGCAAAGAGCAGAAAAACTAAGTAAAACAAATACAAATATCAACTTTGGAATGCTAAGCATCAAAAGAAGGAATAAAGAACTAGATGAAGCACTGAAAGGAAGAAGAAACTGATGGAGAACAAATAATGAGGAGAGTTACAGAGTGGAGGTTCCCTGCCAGCTATCACGGCACAGCATAACCATCTTGGAGCATAGCCAGCAATGACCCTGGTTATGGAGTACAGGAAGGCAACTTCATGGAGCTCCCAACAGGAGACAGAACATCCAGTAACCAGGAAAACATGCTTTCCCACCTCTCACCATCCTGCCTCATACCCTACCTCAACCACTTCCTGATGGGCCACACTGCACAGCTCAGCTAGAGAGATACTGGTTCACCACCACCCTGGGTATGTCCAGTCCCCACTAACCAGCTCCTTCCATGCCCTTGTTTTCTTCCCCTTTCTTTCTAATCTACCTCCCACCTAGCCTCATATGCCCCCTCCTCTCCTTTCTCGCATTCCTTAGGTCAGCTCCAGCCCCACCCATCCACCAAGTACCCTTTTATTTTTATCTCTTGCTCTCTCTTTTCTTTACCTTCTCCTCTCCCCACCTAGCCCCATACACCACCCTGTTCCCATTGGACCCTAATGTGCCACCACTGCTAGAGCATCCTGGGTGCTCAGGCCCACTGCTGTATGGGCCTGTGCTGCGCCCCCCACCGCTTGACTAACTGCTGAATAGTGGGAAAAGAACACATACCACTCTGCATCCAACACTTGCACCTATCTGTTGAAGAGCTGTGAAAGCTCCCAAACTGCTGGACCACCATCAGGAGGCAGATAGCACCTTCCCAGTCTGCCCTCAGCCACCTTGTCAAACCAGTGTAGAGTGAAGCAGGCTCACCCTGCCTGCTGCTGCCCTGCTCACCTGGACAAGGTAGTGAGAACTGTCATGCCCACAAACGAGCAAGCAGCAATACACGACTGGCTCGCCAGCCCTGACATATCAAAACAAAGCAAAAAGTAGGATGAAACAAACAAACGTACTATCAATAAATAAAGAAAATAATACCTTAATGTCTCAGAGACAGTAGATAATATCAAAACACATAAAAAAGCAGAACAAGATGGCACTAGCAAGTGACCAAAATAATCAGATGATCTTCTGGTAAAAGAAAACGCAGTGGAACTACCTGATATGGAATTCAAAAGACTAATATTTAGGGCTCTCCGAGAGATTAGGAAAGAGATCAAGGAAAATATGCCCAAAATCAGGAAAAACAGAGACAAAGCAATAGATAAATTCAATAAAATAATACAAGAACGAAATGTCAAAATAAATTGACAATTAGAAATCATGCAAAAACAACAACTAGAAATCCAAAAGATAAGCCACAAAATTTCAGAAAAAGAAAACTTAATAGAAGGTTTTAGGATCAAATTTGAAATAATGGAAGACAAAATTAGCAAGATTGAAGACAAATCCATGTACGTCACTTTGTTTGAGAAAAATCAGAGAAAAGAATGAAGAAAAATGAAGAAAACCTAAGAATTATGTGGGACACAATCAAGAGCAAAAATCTGCACTTGATCAGAGTTCCAGAACAGAGGGAGAAAATGGAAAACAGAGAAGATTTATTGAAGACTTGCTGGCAGAAAGCTTCCCAAATATCATGAAAGACAAAAAGTTGCTGATCCAAGAAGTTCAACAAACCCCATATAAGACAGACCCCATAAGAAAGTCTCTAAGACATATCATAATCACACTTGCCAAAACCAAACACAAAAAAAGAACCCTGAGAGCAGCTCAATAAAAACGAAAAGTCACTTACAAAGGTAAGTAATCAGGAAGCTCTGATTACTCTGCCGAAACTATGCAGGCAAGAAGGCGATGGGATGACATATATAAAATCTTGAAAGAAGAAAAACTACCAACCAAGAATAATATATAATGCAAAACTCTCTCAAATATGATGGCAAAATTGGAGCATTCACAGATAAAAAGAAATTATGGGAATTCATAAAAACCAAACCAAACTTACAAGAAATATTAAAGGGAGTCCTTTGGTTAGAGAACAAACAACATCAGACAATAACCAGAATCTAGGACATAGGACAGTGTCAGCCAGATATCAACCTAGGTAAAGAACTCTCTATACTAAGACAAAGCTAAAAGACCTAAAACAGGAAAACAGAGACATCAATCTGTAAATGATGACAACGTCAAAACAATAAAAAGGGGAATAAATGGTGTAGACACAGAACTTTTAAATGGAGAGGAAGTCAAGGCAATATCAAGTAATAAAAGACTGGTTCAAACTTAGGAAGATAAGGGTAAATTTCAAGGTAACAACAAAGAAAGTTAACAAACCTACTCATTTGAACAAAAAAGAAGAAAAACATAAAGACTCGATAAACACAAAATCTGCAATAACAAAAGAAAAGAAAAGAAAATATACAAATGAAAGGAACTCAGTACAGGAGAGTAAGAGGAACAAAGAAAACATCAGAATCACAAAAAAAAAGCACAACAAATGACAGCAATAAACTCACACCTATCGATAATCACACTGAATGTAAATGGTTTAAATGCACCAGTAACAAGACAGAAAGTGGCAGAATGGATTAAAAAATGATCCATCAATACGTAGTCTACAACAGACACATCTTAGATATTAAATATATTAAAAATCAAAGGATGGAAAAACTATATCAAGTAAATGGTCACCAAAAAAGGGCAAGAGTGGCAATACTAATCTGTGATAAAATAAACTTTAAGGCAAAAGCAAGAATAAAAGACAAGGAAGGACATGTATGTGAGACCAAATGGGCAACACCTGCGCAAAAGCAAACACACAAGTCAGGAAGATACAGGAAAAATTGACAGATGGAATCGGGGAACTGGGATGGGGAAAGGGAGAGGGTTGACACATTGCAGGGATTGCAACTAATGTCATAAAGTAATTTGAGTATGAATTGTTGAATAAGAAACTAATTTGCTCTGTAAACTTTCATCTAAAGCACAATAAAAAAATAAAAATAAGCTAACTGAGAAAGAAAAGAGTTGAGACTGCTAGTTTACACTGCAAATATACAACTAAACTTCTGTTTTCAAATTAGACTATTGAGTCTTCTTATTAAGTTGATTACAAATAGGTGGTTGTCATCATTTTAAGTCTAGTGTCATGGTTAAGGTTGTCAACTTGGCTGGGCTATGATTCTTAGTGGTTTGGCAGTTATAATGTAGTTTGGCTATTATGTAATGATGTAATTACTTCCATGATGAGATTTGCTATGAGCAGCCAATCAGTGGAAAGACAGTTTCCTTGGAGGTGTGGCCTGCATCCAATATATATGGACTTTCTGACAAAATTCACTGGCTTTTGCTCTGCTCTGGATCCTGTATTCAGCTCATCATCAGCTGACCTCTGGTTCTTGTGACGGGAGCCAGCAGCCTGCCATCTTATCTGCTGATCTTGGGTTCATCAGCCCCTGCAGTTACTTGAGTGAGGAGAAGTATTCAGCTTGACATCTGGCCCATGTCCATGGACTTGGTACTTTCCAGCCTCTACATCAGTGTGATCCATTTCCTTGATGTAAATCTCTCTCTGTCTCTCTCTCAAATATATATGTATGTATATATACACACACACATACCTTTGAATTGTGGTTAAAAGCTTGGCTGCTAATTAAAAGTTTGGCAGTTTGAATCCACCAGCCACTTCTTGAAAACCCTATGGGGCAATTCTACTTTGTCCTATAGATTTGCTATGAGTCAAAATCGACTTGACAGCAACGAGATTGTTTTTCTTTGGTTTTGAATTGTGATGTTGTAGAAGAATACTGAATATACCATGGTCTGCCAGAAGAATGAATAAGTCTGTCTTTGAGGAAGTACAGCCAGAATATTCCTTAGAAGCAAGGATGGAAAGATTTTGTCTCACATACTTTGGACATGTTATTAGGATGGATCAGTCCCTGGAGAAGGACATCATGCTTGGTAAAGTGGAGGGTCAGAGAAAAAGAGGAAGACCCTCAACGAGATGGATTGACACAGTGGTTGCAACAATGGGCTCAAGCATAGCAAAGATTGTGAGAATGGCGAAGGACCGAGCAATGTCTTGTTACGTTGTACACAGGGTCGCTATGAGTCAGAGACGACTCAATGGCAACTAATAACAACATACACATATATACATATGTGTGTGTATATATGTATACATATATATATACATATGTATGTATGTGTATATATATGTATATATGCTTCACTGGTTTTGCTTCTCTAGAGAACCCAGCTTAAGACATTTAATACCAAGTGTGGTTCTAGAGAAACAAAATTGTAAAGATGAGTTTTCTAAATTGGTTCTTAAGTCTGGTTAGCCTTAAAGATGTTGACTCTGCTTCCAGTAGTAAGGAGGGCACTGATAATCCATGGCATTAGGTGGCAATAGAAATACACAAAATATCACCAACAGATCAAGTATTGGTGACAGACGAGGCTCTGGGTGATCACATGTTAGATACTTATCTACAAGTTTGTCATAATGAGAAGTATAAGGAAGCTGGTTGCTTGGTTCTACTTTCACTAGAGAAAGTGGCGAAAGAAAGAGATGATCTCAGGGCTTCAGAGTCACAGCTCACTTGTCTCATAAATGACCTCAAAGTTGCCACTTGTTCCCTTAAAGAAAGTCTTATTTCTTGTAGTAAGAGAGCTGATATTGCTGAGAATCAAAACAGAGTCTTATCCTAAGAGTGGCTGAATTACAACACCAATTGAATTTCCAACCTCAAATGGCGTCTGAAGTAAAGGGAGGGCATTTACTGGGAAGAAATGGGATCCTGAAATTTGGATGGGCAGATAATCAGGAAGCTGGAGACACTGAGCCCCTAAATTCCAATGATTTGCCAGTGCCAGCAAAACCATTAGCCCCTCCAACATCATCTGCTGAGATTAACCCAGCTGTGTCTGAAGAGTCTTTGTTGGAGATATTACCTGGGGCAACATGTGAGTCAACACCTGGGGAGGTGTCTAAGTCATTGCCTGGGGCATGTTGTGAAGCAGATGCTTTACAAGACATTGCTGAATGTTCTCAAAAGACATCACCATCATCCATTTTTGCTTCTAGACCTATAACTAAACTTAAGTCCCTGCAAGGCCCAGAAGGTGAAGTACAAAGTGTGACCCAGGAGGAGGTATGCTACACTCCAAAAGAACTACTTGACTTTTCTAATATGTACAAACAAAAATCTGGGGAATATGTGTGGGAATAGATATTAAGGGTGTGGGATAATGGTGCAAGGAACAAAAAGTTTGATCAGCCTGAGTTTATTGATATAGGCCCACTAAGCACAGATTCCTCATTCAATGTTTCAGCTTTAGAGGTTAGGAAAGGATCTAATAGTTTATTTGATTTGTTCACTGAAGCATGGATTATGCTGGACTAAAATAAATCAAGGTTAAATACAAAACCTGCCTTACTATACTGTAGAAGAAAGTATCCAAAGGCTTAGGGAAATTGACATGTTAGAGTAGATTTATCAGGTTAGACCCACAGACCTACACATGGAGTGCCCAAAGGACATACCTTTTAATACAACAATGAGGAACAAATTTTTGAATGGAGTCCCAGCATCTTGAAGACTGCTGTAGCTGCTATTTTATGTAAGTTAGATTTGATACTGGGAGCTGCCCTAACTTAATTAAGACACCTAACTACAATGGGACTGATATGACCTGTAATGGTAGGGGCCAAGTGGCAGCACTCAATTGACAAAGACAAGGTGGATATGGTTAACACAATGGACAGCAGAGTCAAAACAGTAATTAGAATAGCCTGACTCATATGGACTTATGGCATTGGCTACTTAGTCATGGTGCCTCTAGGAATCATATAGATGGGAAATCTATCAAATATTTGCTTGATCTGTACAAATGGAAGAATTCTAGGTCTAGGGAATGGCAGTCTAACTCAAATCACTAAAACGGAGTCACAGCCTTGCAATTAATTCCTAGACTTGAGCAAGTTTAAAGACACACAACCCCTTAAATGAAGTGGAGGCTAGGTTCCCTTGAGGAAGGACCCTACTACACTGACAAAATTTATATTGTTAATCTTTCTCCCAGCCTTACCCAAAGGGCTCTACAGCCTTTTATGAGAGTGACTGCTTATTGGGGAAAAGGAAATAATCAGATTTTTCAGAGATTTCTGGATACTGGCTCTGAACTGACACTAATTCCAGGAGTACCAAAACGTCACTGTGAACCACCAGTCTGAGTAGGGACATATGGAGATCAGGTTATTAAAAGAGTCTCAGCTCAGGTTCAGTTCAAGTGGGTCTAGTGGGTCCCCTAAACCCATTCTGTAGGGATTTCCCCAGTTTGGGAATGCATAATTGGAATAGATATACTCAGCAACTGGCAGAACCCCACATTGGATCCCTGACTAGTGAAGTAAAGGCTAATGTGGTAGGAAAAGTCAAGTGGAAGTCATTAGAACTGCCCCTACCTAGGAAAATAGTAAATGAAAAGCAATGTCACATTCCTGGAGGGATTGCAGAGATTACTGCCACCATGAAGGACTTCAAGGATACAGGGTTGGTTACTCCCACCACATCCCCATTCAACTCATCTGTTTGGCCTGTGTAAAAAACAGAGGGATCTTGGAGAATGACAGTGAATTACTGAAAACTAGGTTGTGACTTCGATTGTAGCTGCTGTTACAGATGTGGTTTCATTGCTTGAGTAAATTAATACCTTGTATGTAGTTATTGATCTGGATATGGTAGGGGCCCTACCATTACAGGTCCTATCAGTCCCATTGTAGTTAGGTGTAGTTAGTTATTTTTCTCCATATCTGTTTCGACGGCCCACCAGAAGCAGTTTGCCTTAGGTGGCAAGGCCAGTGATACATCTCCACTGTCCTACCACATGGGTGTATCAACTCTCCAGCTCTATGTCATAATTTAGTCCACAGGGACTTTGATCACCTTTCCCTCTCACAAGACATCACAATGGTCCATTACTTTGATGACATTATGCTGAGTAACCTAGAAGGAAGAAGAATCAATGACTTTAGTCTTATTGGTGAGACATTTGAGTTCTAGAGAGTTGGAAATTACTCCAATGAAAAATCAGGCACCTTCCACTTCAGTGAAATTTCTAAGGGTCCGTTGGTGTGGTGCATGTAGAGATATTCCTTCTAAAGAGAGGGATAAGTTATTGCATCTGGCCCTCTCACAACTTAAAAGGAGACACAATGCTTACTGAACTTCTTTGGATTTTGGAGGCAACATATCCCTCATTTGGGTATGCTACTCCAGCTTATTTATCCAGTGAATCAAAAAGCTTCTAGTTTTGAGTGGGGCCCAGAACAAAAGGCTCAGCAATAGGTTCAGGCTGCTGTGCAAGCCACTCTGCCACTTGGGCTATATGGTCTGGATGATCCAATGGTGCTTAAAGTGTCAGTGACAGGTAGAGATGATGTTTGGAGTCTTGGGTAGTTCCCTATTGGTGAATCACATTGTAGACCCTTAGGATTTGGGAGCAAAGCCCTGTCATCCTCTGTGGATAACTATTCTCCTTTTGAGAAACAGCTTTTGGCTTGTTATTGGGCCTTAGAGAATGAATGCTTAACCCTGGGCCACCAAGTCACCATGTGGCCTGAGCTGCCTGTAATGAACTGGGTGTTGTCTGACCCACAGAGCCATAAACTCAGACTTGCACAAACTTGCATCATTAAATGGAAGTGGTATATATAATATCAGTCCCAAGCAGGTTCTGAAGTTGCATGAAGAAGTGGCCTAAATGCACATGGCCTCCACTCCTGTCACATTATCTGCCCTTTCCCAGTCTGCACCTATGTCCTCATGGGGAGTTCCATATGATCAGCTGACCAAAGAAGAGAAAACTTGTGCCTGGTTTACAAATGGTTCTCCATGATATGCAGGCAACACTTGAAAGGGGACAGCGACAGCGCTACAGTCCCTTTCTGGGACCTCCCTGAAGGACAGTGGGGAAGGGAAATCCTCCTAATGGGCAAAATTTAAGCAGTGCACTTGGTTGTTCACTTTGCTTAGAAGGAGAAATGGACAGATTTGTGACTGCATACTGATTCATAGGCTGTGGCCAATGGTTTGGCTGGATGGTAAGGGATTTGGAAGGAACATGATTGGAAAATTGGTCACAAGGAGGTATTGAGAAAGAGGTATGTGGATAGACCTCTCTGAATGGGCCAAAGAAATGAAGATATTCGCGTTTCATGTGAATGTTCACCAAAGGGTGACCTCAGCAGAGAAGGATTTTATTAATCAAGTGGATAGGATGATGTGTTCTGTGGAAACCAGTCACCCTATTTCCCTAGCCACTCCTGTCATTGCCCATGAACAAATAGGCCATGGTGGGAGGATGGAGGTTATGCATAGGTTGAGTACCATGGACTTCTACTCACCAAGGCCAACTTGGCTATAGCCACTGCTGAGTGCCCAATCTTCCAGCAGCAGAGACCAACGCTGGAAGTCCTCCATATAATACTATCTCTTGAGGTGATCAGCCAGCAATTTAGTGGCAGGTTGATTACATTGGGCTGCTTCTGTCATGGAAGGGGTGGTATTTTGTTCTTAGTAGAATAAACATTTACTTTGGATACGGATTTGCCTTCCTGGTACACACTGCTTCTGCCAGAACTGCTATCTGCAGACTTATGGAATGCTTTATCCAGTGTCATGGTATCCCACACAGCATCGTCTCAGATCAAGGGACTCACTTCACATCAAATGAAATGCAGCAATGGGTCCATGCTTATGGAATTCACTGGTTTTACCATATTCCTTACTATCCTGAATCAGCTGGCTTCATAGAATGATGGAATGGCCTTCTAAAGACAAAATTACAGCGCCAGCTAGTTGGCAATACCTTGCAGTGTTGGGGTAATGTTCTCCAGGACGCTGTATATGCTCTAAAACAGTGTCCAGTGTATATAGCGCTGTTTCTCCCATACCCAGGATTCATGGGTCCAGGAATCAAAGAGTGGAGATGAGAGTGGCACCACTCACTATTACCCCTAGTGACCCTCTTGCAAAATTTTTGCTTTCTGTCTCTGAGACCCTTTGCTCTGTAAGTATAGAGGTCTTAGTTCCAAAGGGAGGAATGCTCCCACCAGGAGACACAACACTGATTCCACTGAACTGGAAGTTAAGAATGCCACCTGGCTACTTTGGGCTCCTCATGCCTCTGGATCAACAAGTAAAGAAGGGTATTAGTGTATTGGCTGGTGTGATCAATCCTGATTACAAAGAGGAAATCAGATTGATATTACTTCATGGAGGTAAAGAAGAATATCTCTAGAATACAGGAGATCCCTTAGGAAGTCTCTTATTACTACCATGCCCTGCGATTAAAGTCAATGGAAAACTACAGCAACCCAATTCCAGCATGACTACTAATGGCCCAGAACCTTCAGGAATGAAGGTTTCAGTCACCTCATCAGGCAAAAATCCATGATTAGCTGTCATGGATTGAATTGTATCCTCCAAAAATATATGTCAACTTGGTTAGGCCATGATTCCCAGTATTGTATGATTGTCCAACATTTTGTCATTTAATGAGATTTTCTTATGTGTTGTAAATCCTGTCTTTGTAATGTTAATAAGATAGATTAGTGGCAGTTATATTGATGAGATTTACAAGATTAGATAGTGTCTTAAGCCAATCTCTTTTGAGATATAAAAGAAAGAAGCAAGAGGAGAGACATGAGGACCTCACACCAAGAAAGCAGTGTAGAGAGCAGAGCGAATTCTATGGACCTGAGGTTCCTGTGCTGAGATGCTCCCAGACCAAGGGAAGACTGACGACAAGGACCTTTCTCCAGAGCTGACAGACAGATAAAGCCTTCCCCTGGAGCTGGCACCCTGAATTTGGACTTGTAGCCTAACGGACTGTGAGAGAATAAAATTCTCTTTGTTAAAGTCATTCACCTGTTGTATTTCTGTTATAGCAGCACTAGATGACTAAGACACCAGCTGAGGTGTTTGTTGAGGGTAAAGGGAATATGAAATGTGTGGTTGAAGAAGATAGTTCTAAATACCAGTTACAACCACGTGATCAGTTGCAGAAACGAGGACTGTAACTGTTGTGAATATTTCAGTCTTGTATGTGTGCATCAAATATTTTTGTTTTCTTCACTTATAAAATATAAGATGTAAACAGAGTTAGTGCTTTTTCAGTTGTACGTGTGTTAGTTATATCATATTAAGCCCAAGTATGACTTTATTGTTGTCATTATTTAGAGATTATGTATGGTTTAAGGAGACTTGTACAGGTACAAACTTGACAAGAGGTGGACGGTGATGGTTAAGGTTGTGTGTTAACTTGGCTGGGCTATTATTCTCAGTGGTTTAGGAGTTATGATATAGTTTGGCAGTTAAGTAATAATGTAATCACCTCCATGATGAGATCTGAAATAATGTAATGACCTCCAAGATCATCAGCTGAAAGGTAGTTTCCTTGGGGGTGTGGCCTGCATCTCATATATATGGACTTTCTGGCAAAGCTTGCTGGCTTTTGCCCTGCTCTGGATACTGCATTTGGATCATCATCATCTGACCTCCGGTTCTTGAGACTTGAGCCAGCATCCTACCATCTTACATGCCGACCTTGGGTTCGTCATCTCATGCAGCTACATGAGTCAGGAGAAGTCTCCAGGCTGATGCCTGACCCATAGACTTAGAACTTTACAGCCTCTACAACTGTGTGATCAATTTTGTTGATATAAATCTCTCTCTCTCTCTGTATGTATATGTATATATATACACACACATATATACACTTCACTTCTTTTGCTTCTCTAGAGAACTCAGCCTAAGACATCTAGTAAGAACTGTTACTCAGAAAATATATATCCATTTCATTTCCTAGTGGTATTTTGTCTTCCAACATTAATTCACATAAATGAGAGAGAAAAATTACCTCTAATTCCTTACGGAAAGAAAGGTCTACATCTTCGAATGAGCTTCTGATGAAGACTTGGATAGCCTCTCTCTCACTTGCCCTGTGCAGGTCCAGCAGCTCCTGGAGGGTTTCCGTTGGCAACTGCACCTTCTGGCCCATCTGCTGGTCGTAGAAGGCAATGGCCTTTTGCACTGCAGCTGAGTTCTCTATCTGGGCCAAGGCCAGGACTGCATTCTCCATGCAGGGAAGATCCCCACTGTTTATGGCATTGACATAAGTCAGCACCAGGCTCTCTAGACCTTCAAATGGAGAACAAATGGTGATATTCACTATAGGTGGTGAGAGGACACATCTCTATTTTGTGTAATTCTGAGTATATCTGTTAACTGCTCTTTGCCTGACAGCATAAGTAGTCTCAGCATCATCTGGAACCTTGTCAGAAATGTGGACTGTCAGGTCCTGCCACAGACCTACTGATTACAGCCTGCCTTTGGCAAGGTTCTCAGGTGATTTTAGACCCTGCTTTTCTCAGAGCTGAAACTAGGTGTATGTTATTTCACCCTCCCTTATTCTTAGCAATGAGTGGAAGGACTGAGAAGAGGACTCACGAGGCCCATTGACCTTGATGCCTCTTGGAAGAATTTTAATCTTGGAATGACTGAAGATGTAGGAACAGAATTCTGAAACTTGTTGTATAAATCCAGGATCCAGGTCATCATCAAGTAGTGTCTCAAGACGAACAAGCTTCTTCCACTCAGTGGGGGGATGGAAGACAAAGCAATTCTTCTTTGGGAAGAACTTTTGGATACAGAGTCGAGGCAGGTTAAAATTTTTATCTTTTTGACTGATACCTAGAGAAAGATAAAAAGTAGATGTATATAGTAGAGTGTATGCCACTAAACAATTACTTCAAATAAATAGTCTCTCTACTCCATATTCTTTGATCATCTGTAACTTCATATACCATAAGTAAAGAGATGAAGGTAACCTAATCTTAGTACAAGAAAGGATAAAGATAAAAACACTTTTCCTACTAACAGGGGAATAATGAAATTTAAAATTCAATCTACTAATTTAGGTAATAACTAAGAATTGTTTCATAGGTATAACCTAATAGAAATACAAAGGTATAGACTTCCGAACAACATGGCATTACAGACAGAAGCACCATGCCATCCGTCTACAGCAAAGACCTGAAAAACTAAGTCAGAGACAAATGTCAATCCTGGAACCCTAAAGCATTAAATGAAGAGATAAAGAACTCAGCCAAGCATCAAATGGAATAAGAAACTGACAGAGAAAAGAGAGCGAGGAGAGATAACTGCAGAGGTCCTTTATCAGCTAGCACAGCATGGATTCATCACCTTGGACTCCTGTCGGAGATAGTCAAACAGGGAGTATGGGAAAGCAGCTTCACGGAGCTCCCAGCAGGAGACAGAACAACTGGTAACCATCGATATATCCTTTCCCAGCCCTACCCTTCTTCACCCCAATCAGCCTCCTCTGCTTCCTGTGGCCACAGGCTCTTGGCCAGAAGGCACTGGCTTCAGCCCTGAGCTGCTTGGATTCCACCCACCCACACTGGCTGGCTCCCTGTGTGCCATTTGTTTGCTGCTGGTGTTGCTTTTTTCTGCTTCTTTTGGTTTCTTCCATACGTCTCACCACCTCCCCCTCCTTCCTCTAAAATACCTGGCTCCGTGTGCCATCTTTACTTCTTGAAAGGCTGTGAAACACTGCCTGACTATGGAACTGCTTCCCAGCCCGCGCTGCCATGCTGGTGGGTTCCCCGGGTCTTTTTTGTTTGTTTTGAGTTTTTGTTTTGTTTTGTTTGTTTGTTTATTTTTTTTTCTTTTCTAAGCTTGGGAGCCCCTTCTAGCTGGGCTGTACTGCTTGGCTTGGGAGCTACTTCCCCAGTCCATGCAGCCATGTTGGTGGGACCCCTGAGGGCATTTCTTTTTTCATTTTTGTCTTTCTTCATTTTTCAGTTTCTCATCTCTCTATACTTGACTTATCTTCCTGTCTCCTGAATACCTGGTGCTGTGTGACACCCCTACCCCTTCTAGCCAGGCTGTACTTCATGACTTGGGAAGCACTTCCCAGTCTTCCCAGCCACACAGGTGGGGTCACTGGGGGCTTTGCTTTTATTTGGTTTGTTAATTTTTATTAATTTATTTTTTCTCTTACCGTTTTTCTTTTTGTTTTTCTCCATTTCTTGGTTTCTCATTTCTCCACTCCAATGGCAAGCTCCATTAGCACTCATTTTTGTTTGTTTGTGGCTCCTGTTTGTCTCTTCTCTCTCTCCTCTTTCCTATACCTACCTTAGCTCCACACATCACAATATCCCCCCCCCTTCCTGCCTACTTACCTGCACCATGCACTGAACATCACACCCCTGAGCAGCACAGACATGGCCTACAGGAACCTGCCCTGCACTGATTCCCAGTCCGCCCTGTTGGCCCTACTACATGCCATAAACAACCCATCCCAGCAACTCTTCTTCAGCTGGACCTGCCCTGCTGCACTATAGCTGAGTGACTGTAGCCTATTGGATAAGGAGGTGAAAATTATTGTGCCTACAGATGAACAAACAACAAATAAGGCACAGCCCACCTACTCAGACATAACCAAATAAAACAAAAAAGCAGGATAAAACAAACAAATCTACAATCAATAAACAAGGAAAATAACTGCTGAATGCCCCGAAGACAGCAGACAATATAAAAACATTTACAAAAACAGGACAGGATGGTTCCAGTAGGCGTCCAAATTAAAACACCAGATGACTTTCCAGTAGAAGAAAAGGCACTAGAACTACTTGATAGGGAATTCAACTCTCTAATATTCAGAGCTATCCAAGAGTTGAAGCAAAGCCAAGACAAAAATGAGGAAAAAGACAAATTCATGGAAAAGGCAGACAACTTCATGGAAAATACACACTAAAAAATGGAAGAATTCAGGAAAATAATATAGGAACAAAATGTTAAAATAAATTCACAACTAGAAAGCATACAAAAACAATTAGAAATCCAGAAGATAAACAACAAGATTTCAGAAATGAACAGTGTCATAGAAGGGCTGAGGAGCAGGTTTGAAATGATGGAAGACAGGACCAGCGAAATTAAATACGAACACTTGGATACAACTCTGTTTGAGGAAAATCAGAAGAAAGAACAAAGAAAAATGAAGAAATCCTGAGAATTATGTGGGATAAAATCAAAAGCAAAAATTTTCAAGTGATCAGAGTTGGAGAAGGGGGAGAGAAAACAGAAAACACAGAGAAGATCATTGAAGAACTACTGACAGAAAACTTTCCTAAAATCATGAAAGATGAAAAATCAAACCATCCAAGAAGCTCAACGAACCCTATATAGGATAGACATCAAAAGAAAATAAACAAGGCATATCATAATCACAATTGCTAAAACCAAAGACAAACAATCCTGAAAGCAGCTCCAGAAAAATGAAAAATCATGGACAGAGAAGAAACAATAAAGCTAAGCTAGGATTATTCAGCAGAAACCACATAGGCAAGAAGGCAATGGGATGATATAGATAAAACCTTGAAAGAAAAAAATTGCCAACCAAGAATAATATATCCTGCAAAACTCTCATTCAAATATGATGGTGAAATTAGGACATTTCCAGATAAACAGAAATTAAGGGATTATGCAAAAAACAAACCATACTTGAAAGAATTATTAAAGGGAGATCTTCAGTCTGAGAACAAACAACATGAGACCACAGATTGAATCTAGGATGCAGTATCGTACCTGCCAGATACCAAACTAGGAAATGAACTCTCAAGGACTATCCAAAACCAAAAGAATGACAATATGGAAACAGAGAGGTTAATCTGTAAATGACCACAACATCAGAACAATAAAAGAGGGAATAAATCGTGTAGGTATAGAACCTTCTAATGGAGAGGAAGGCAAGGCGATACCAAGTAATAACAGACTGGTTCAAACCTAGGAAGATAAGAGTAAATTTCAAGGTAACCACAAGGAAAGTTAACAAACCTACTCATCAAAATAAAGAAGAAAAACATCAAGTCTCAGTAAAAACAAAATCTACAAAAACAAAAGAAATGAAAAAAATCTACGAAAAAGGAATTCAGAACAGGAGAGTAAGGGGAACAAAGAAAACGTCAGCACGAAAAAGAAAGCACTACAAAATGACAGCAATAAACTCACACTTATCAATAATTACACTGAATGTAATGGCCTAAATGAACCCGTAAAGAGATAGAGAGTGACAGAATGGATTAAAAAACAGTATCCAACAATATTACTGTCTACAAGAGACACACCTTGGAAACAAAGATGTAAATTTATTAAAAATCAAAGAATGGAAAAAAATATATCAAGCAAACAGCTACCAAAAAAGAGCAGGAGTGGCAATACTAATCTCTGATAAAATAGACTTTAAAACAAAATCCACCATAAAAGACAAAGAAGGACACTACGTAATGATTAAGGGGATGATCCATTATGAAGACTAAACCATAATAAACATCTATGCACTCAAAGACAGGGCTCCAAAATACATAAAAAAAAACTAACAGCACTGAAAACAGAAATTCAAAGTTCCACAATAATAGTAGGAGACTTCAACACACCACTCTTGGTAAAGGACAGAACACCTAGAGAGCAACTCAGCAAAGATATGGAAGACCCAAATGGCACAATCAGACAACTTGACCTCATAGACATATATAGAATGTTCCATCCAACAGCTGCAAAGTACACGTTCTGTTCCAGTGCACATGGAATGTTCTCCAGAATAAACCACATCTTAGGCCACAGAGCAACCCTCAACAAAATCCAAAACATTGAGACAATACAAAGTATCTTCTCAGACCACAACACCTTAAAGGTAGAAATTAAAAACAGGAAGAGCAAGGAAAAATAATCAATTACATGGAAACTGAATAACACCCTGCTTACAAACCACTTGGTAATAGAAGAAATCAGAGATGGGATAAAGAAATTCCTAGAATCAAATGAGAATGAAAACACATCATACCAAAACCTTTGGGACACTGCAAACGCAGTCCTCAGAGGACAATTTATAGAAATAGATGCACACATCAAAACAGAAAAAAAGGAACAAAATGAAAACATTAACTATACAACTCAAACAAATAGAAAGAGAACAGCAAAAAACACCCACAGCCACCAGAAGAAAGGAAATAATAAAGATCAGAGCAGTAATAAATGAAATAGAGAATAGAAACACAATAGAAAGAATCAACAAAACCAAAAGTTGTTTCTTTGAAAGGATCAACAATATCGACAAACCACTGGTCAAACTGACAAAAGAAAAACAGAAGAGGACACAAATAACCCAAATAAGAAATGAAATGGGCGACATTACAACAGACCCAAATGAAATAAAAAGGATCATAACACAGTATTATGAAAAATATACACCAACAATTTTGAAAACATAGAGGAAATGGATAAATTTATAGAAATGCACTACATACCAAACTAACATAAAGTGGTTTATAAATCTGAACAGACCCATAACAAGAGAAGAGATTGAAAAGGTAACAAACAAAATCCCAACAAAAAAAGCCCTGGCCCAGATGGCTTCACTGGAGAATTCTACCAAACATTCAGAGAAGAGCTTACATCAGTACTACTCAAACCATTTCAGAACATAGAAAAGGAAGTTACACTTCTGAATTCATTCTATGAAGCCAACATAACCAAGATACCAAAATCAGTGAACCACAAAAAAGGAAATTAAAGACCAATATCTCTCATGAATATAGACACAAAAATTCTCAACAAAATTCTATCCAATAGAGTTCAGCATCATTTGAAAAAAATAATGTACCATGACCAAGTAGGATTTACACAGGTATGCTAGGATGGTTCAACATTAGAAAATCAATCAAAGTAATCCACCACATAAATAAAAGGAACGAAAAGAATCAGATGATTATCTCAACTGACACAGAAAAGCCATTCTGCAAAGTCCAACACCCGTTCTTGATAAAAACTCTCAATAAAATAGGCATAGGAGGGAAATTCATCAACAGAATAAAGGGCATCTATGCAAAACCAACAGCCAAAATCATTCCTACTGGATAGAGGCTGGAAACATTCCGCTTGAGAACAGGAAAAAGACAAGGATGCCCTTTATCACTACTTCTATTTAACATTATGATAGATGTCCTAGCTACAGCAATAAGGCAAGAAAAAGAAAAAAAGAGCATCCAAATTAGTAATGAAGAAGTTAAACTGTCCCTATTTGCAGATGATATGATACTATACATAGAAAACCCAGAAGACTCCATCAGAAAACTACTGGAACTAACAGAAAGATTCAGCAGATAGCAGGATACAAGATAAACACACAAAAATCAGTTGGATTCCTATACAGCAATAAACAGAATGAAGAAAAGGAAATCAGGAAAACAATACCATTTATAATAGCCCCTATAAAACTAAAATACTTAGGAATAAATCTAACCAGGGATGTAAAAGACCTATACAAAGAAAACTACAAAACACTACTGCAAGAAACAAAAAGAGATCTACATAAATGGAAAAACATACCATGCACATGGATAGGTAGACTCAACATTGTGAAAATGACAATTCTACCCAAAGCAATTTACAAATACAATGCAATCCTGATCCAAATACCAACAACATTCTTAAAAGAGGTGGAAAAACTAATAATTAACTTTCTATGGAAAGAGAAGAAGCCCCAGACAAGTAAAGAACTATTGAAGAAGAAGAAAGCAGGAGGACTCACACTATCTGACCTCAGAACCTTCTATACAGCTATGGTAGTCAAAACAGCCTGGTACTGGTACAACAACAGATACATTGACCAGTGGAACAGAATTGAGAACCCAGATGTAAATCTATCCACCTCCGGCCACCTGATCTTCGACAAGGGATGAAATTCCATCAAATGGGGAACAGACAGTCTTTTTAACATATGGTGCTGGAAAAACTTGATGTCCATCTGCAAAAAAATGAAATAGGACACATAACTCACATCATATACAAAAACAAATTCAAAATGGATCAAAGACCTAAATATAAAGCCGAAAACTATAAAGTTCATAGAAGGAAAAATAGGATCAACGCTAGAGACTCTAATACACGGCATTAACAGGATACAAACTATAACCAATGACATACAAACTCCAGAAGATAAGCTAGATAACTGAGATCTTCTAAAAGTTAAACACTTATGCTCATCAAAAGACTTCACCAGAGAAGTAAAAAGAGAATCTACAGACTGTGAAAAGATTTCTGGACATTACAAATCAGACAAAGTTCTATTCTCTAAAATCTACAAGAAAATCCAACACCTCTACAACAAAAAGACAAGTAATCCAAGTAAAAAATGGGCAAAAGAAATGAACAGACACTTCACCAAAAAAGACATTCAAGCGGCTAACAGACACATGAGGAAAAGCTCGTGAAGACTAGCCATTAGAGAAATGCAAATCAAAAACTTTATGAGATATCATCTTACCCCGGCGTTACTGGCATGAATCAAAAAAACTGAAAATAACAAGTGTTGTAGAGGCTGTGGGGTGATTGGAACTCTTATACACTGCTGATGGGAATGCAAAATGATACAACCATTTTGGAAACCAATATGGCGCTTCCTTAAAAAGCTAGAAATAGAAATACCATACAATACAGCAATCCCAATCCTAGGAATTTATCCTAGAGAAATAAGAGCTGCCACATGAATAGACATATGCACACCCGTGTTCATTACGGCATTGTTCACAATAGCAAGAAGATGGAAACAACCTAGATGCTCATCAACAGATGAATGGATAAACAAACTATGGTACATACACATGATGGAGTATTATGCAACAATAAAGAACAATGATGAATCTGTGAAGCATCTCATAACATGGATGAATCTGGAGGGCATTATGCTGAGTGAAATAAGTCAATCTCAAAAGGACAAATATTGTATGAGAACATACTGTAAAAACTCATGAAAAGGTTTACACACAAAAGCAACAATCTTTGATGGTTACAAGGGGGGGAGGGGGAGGGAGGAAACACCAAATAGACAATAGATAAGTGGTAACTTTAGTGAAGGGTAAGACAGTACACAATGCTAGGGAAGCCAGTACAACTTGTACAAGGAAAGCTCATGGAAGCTCCATAGACACATCTAAACTCCCCAAGGGACCAAACTGCTGAGTGGAGGGCTGTGGGGACCATGGCCTTGGGGAACATCTAGCTCAATTGGCATAACATAGTTTATAAAGAAAATGTTCTACTTTCTACCTTGGTAAGTAGCGTCTGGGGTCTTAAAAGCCTGTGAGCAGCTATATAAGATACTCCACTAGTCTTACCCCTTTGGGAGCAAGGGAGAATGAAGAAAACAAGATACGAGGGAAAGATTAGTCCAAAGGTCTAATGAACCACAACTACCACGGCCTCTACCAGACTGAGTCCAGTACAACTAGATGGTGCCTGGCTAGCACCACTGACTGCTCTGACAGGGGTCAAAACAGAAGGTTCCAGACAGAGCTGGAGAAAAATGTAGAACAAAATTCTAACTCACAAAAAACATTAGACTTACTGGTCTGACAGAGACTGGAGAAACCTCGAGAGTATGGTCCCTGGACACCCTTTTAGCTCAGTAATGAAGTCACTCCCAAGATTTACCTTTCAGCCAAAGATTAAACAGCCCATTAAAACAAAACTAGACTAATGAGGCACAACAGCCCAAGGACAAGGACTAGAAGGCAAGAGGAGACAGGAAAGCTGGTAATAGGGAACCCAAAGTTGATAAGGGAGAGTGTTGACATGTCATGGTGTAGTTAACCAATGTCATAAAACAATATGTGTACTAACTTTAATGAGAAGCTATTCGTTCTGTAAACCTTCATCTAAAGTACAGTAAAAAAAATTAAAGAAAAAAAAGATGATCAGGACATTCTGTTTCATGGTATTCCCATGAGAATGGACAAAAACATTTAAAAAACAAAAAATGAATCAGCATCAACAAGAACTGGTGACAAAAAAATTTGCTACTTATTCTCCAATCAGAAGTAGCTGAGCCTCTATATGAAAGCCTACTTGGAAATAAAATTAAATTTTGATACAACAAAAATAAAAAGAAACACAAAGATATAAATGTAAGCAAACACTCAAAAATGATAACTCCTGAAATATTTTTCTCCTTGTTTTCCAATCACCAATCCCTATTACCTGGCTTTAGCTTCAGGGAATTCTCTAGGTACTTGTCTGCTGTGATGGGTTGTCCATCTGCTTCCAGGTTCAGGGTCCAGTCTCTCAGAGTCCACACAAAGTCTGGAAAGAAGCTAACAAAGTCAGCAGAATCCTCAACATCATCCTTATCAGGTGAGGATTTTGTCCTGATTCGATCTGTAAGCTCTGTTACATAGCTGAGTAGCTAACTAAGGAAAAATGGCATAAAAGAACAGGGCTCCTCTTTCCATATTAGTTCTAAATATTACAAAACCTTCATTTTACCTTTGTTTTTAACAAATTCTCAGTTCAGCAGTAGGTACCTGGGATCTTTCCCCTGTACCTGAAATATATTTTATGTTTTCTTTTTTTGTGTTTGTTGCCCAGGATTCACAATAAGGCCACCGGTTTGTTAATGCAAGTGTCTGCTCTGGCTTTGGGGCTGTCCTTGACCACTGAAGGATACTGCAGTTGATCCATGGCCTGCTGGTTGATGGCTCCCATGCTATTGTATATGAAGGTGCTGCTCAGGAGGATGGCCAGGGCAAAGATCCAGGAGTCATTCTGGTTGTCTCCCTGGAAGTCAGAACACATTTGAGTCAGAAGTTTGTTTCATTCTCATGACATTTTCCTTATTATACAAGAAAAAAAACCCAAAGCCATTGCCGTTGAGTTGATTCCTACTCATAGCAACGCTCCATGGCAATGGTCCATAGCGACTCTTCATGGCGACACTATAGGACAGAGTAGAGCTGCACCATAGGGTTTTCAAGGAGGAGCAGATGGATTCGATCTGCCAACCTTCTGGTTAGCAGCTGAACTCCTGGCTGGTAAAGTGTGCTCATTTAATAATCAGAGATTTTCTAGACTAATAACTTCTAAGATGAACTCAAATCCAAACAAAAATGGTTGTTATTAAACCTTGGACTTTTGTCAGTTTTCTCATTAGCATGTTTGGTTTCCATTGATTCATACTTTTATCTGCTCACCAGGCCCTCTTATGACCATTGTCAGATAATTACAAAACAAATACCCAAAGTTAGTGAACATTCCAAATCCTTAAAACAAAGACTTTTTAAATATTGTTTATAAAGTAAAATTGATTTTAAATAACAGTAATATCAATTGCACCTAGGAGTGTGCATTATATTGGGCTAATATTATGTACTTGATACTTTATATTATTTATATTCATAAATAGTCAAAACAGTGCATTGCATTAGGTATGACTGTTGTTGTTAGGTGCGGTCTGGGCGGTCCGACTCATAGCGACCCCAAGTAGAACAGAATGAAACACTACCTGATCCTGCGCCATCCTCACAATCATTATGCTTGAGCCCATTGTTGCAGCCACTATGTTAGTCCAACTCATTGAGTATCTTCCTCTTTTTTGCTGACCCTCTACTTTACTGAGCATGATGTCTTTCCCTAGGGACAGATTCCTCCAGATAACATGTCCAAAATATGTGAGATGAAGTCTCGCTGTCCTCGCTTCTAAGGAGCATTCTGGTTGTGCTTCTTCCAAGACAGATTTGTTCGTTGGCAGTCCATGGTATATTCAATATTCTTTGCCAACACCATAATTCAAAAACGTCAATTCTTCTTTGGCCTTCGTTAATCATTGTCCAGCTTTCGCATGCATATGAGGCAATTGAAAACACCATGGCTTGTGTCAGGCGCACCTTAGTCCTTAAAGTGACATCTTTCCTTTTTAATGCTTTAAAGATGCCTTTTGCAGCAGATTTGCCCAGTGCAATGAGTCCTTTGATTTCTTGACTGCTGCTTCCAAGGACGTTGATTGTGGATCCAAGTAAAATGAAATCCTTGACAACTTCAATCTTTTCTCCGTTTATCATGATGTTGCTTATTGGTCCAGTTGTGAGGATTTTTGTTTTCTTTATGTTGAAGTGTAATCCATACTGAAGGCTGTAGTTTTTGATCTTTATCAATAAGTGCTTCGAGTCCTCTATACTTCCAGCAAGCAAGGTTGTGTCATCTGTATAGCACAGGTTGTTAATGAGTCTTCCTCTAATCCTGATGCCCAGTTCTTCTTCATATAGTCCAGCTTCTCGGATTATTTGCTCAGCATATAGATTGAAATATCATGGTGAAAGGAAGCATCCCTGATACACACCTTTCCTGGCTTTAAACAATTATGAATACATAATTACAGAATAATTATATCCATATTACAGATCTGAAAAATGAGGCCATAAAACCTAAATAACTTGGTAAAACCACTGAGTTGGTATGTGACAGAACTATGATTGGAAAACAAATTCTCAACACTTTAGGACTCATATCATCACTCTTTACTACAGAATAAGATTCATGACATTGATTTTGTTTGTTCTACCTTTATGCATCTGGGTTAACTGGCTTAGCTCACAGCTTGGAGTTAATGATTAGAACACTGATTACACTTCTGATCAGCACGTTCTTCTGCTGGATTATAAAATATTTTAATGAAATCTGTATTATGAAAATTTTCTGTAAGTCTGGTTGCTTCATGTGGCCTAATATCATGCAAATGGAAACAAGAAGATGTAATACCGTTAAATGGAAGTTCTTCTAGAAGGTAAAACTACGTGTGCAAAAGATATTCAGAGAAGAGAGTTGTTATGGATTGAATAGTGTGCCCCCAAAATATGTGTTGTAAATCTTAACTCGTATACCTGTGGTTATAATCCCATTTTGAAATGAGTTGTCTTTGTTATGTTAATGAGGCAGTATTAGCGTGGAGTGTATCTTGAGTCAATCTCTTTTGACACACAAAAGAGCTTATTAAGTATACAAGCAAGCACAGACAGGGAGAGATAGATAGCACACCACATAGAGACCACCAAGGATCTGAGGAACAGAAACTGAAAAGAGACAAGGACCTTCACTCAGAGCCCACAGAGAAAGAGTCTTCCCCTAGAGTTGCTGTCCTGAATTCAAATTTCTAGCCTCCTGAACATTGAGAATCTACAGGAGAAAGATGTGATAGTCTGCTTCCGTATAGATTACAACCTTGGAAACCCTATGGAGAGATTCTACTCTGTCCTACAGGGTCGCTCTGAGTCAGAATTGACTCAACAACAATGAGTTTGGTTTCGAAACATTGAGAAAATAAATTTCTGTTCATTAAAGCCACTCACCTGTGGTACTTCTGTTATAGCAGCACTAGATAACTAAGACAAGGGACTAAATCCAAAACTGAATCCTCCTTCCTTACCTTCTCTACATCTCCCAGGCCCTCTGTGTCAAGCAGAACTAGGGTGAGGTTCAGCTTCTTGGGGTGAGGCACACACCACATCCAGATTCCCTTGGTGTGACCCTGCACTGTAGAACTCATAGAGAAGCCTGCAAAGGGCAGAGGAGATGTGCCGGGGCCCAGAGTTAATGACAGGAGGTTCTGGAAATTGAACTAAGAGTTAAGTCATTCAAGGTTAGGAGACATAACTGCAACTATAATGATTTTATTTACTACCAGAGAAATAGCAAAATTAGAATACCCAATACAGATTGAAAAATTTTATTTTTACCTTAAAGTTCAATGATGCTTGCTGATACTACATAAGTGTACTAGTGAATGTTGTATAGTTTATTTTATGTACATTGAATATTCCTATTGTTGCCTTATTCCGTTAGAGAAAAGAACATTTATACTTTTAAAAGGGGAAGCTAAAGCAAAGAACAAAGTGGGAAAAGAGAGTAAGCTGGTTTTTGTTCTTAAGAACAGTGTGAGGACAAAAATCCCAACTGTGGACATAAAGTTAGCTTTCAATATTCATCCCAGTCTCTATATTTTCTCTCCTTACATCACCATATTTGATGTTGGACAGTGCGAATGGGCAGAAGGGACTCAAGAGAGGTTTACTGGTGCCACTTACCCTGTTTCTTCCCTGTCAGTTTGTTCATCAGGTAGGATTTGCCTGTGCGGTAGAGGCCCACAATAGCCACCACCACTACAGGCTGGGTAATGGCTGAAAGGATTTTCAAAGCTTCCTGATTAACCATCAGTTTCTTTTCATTGTTCTCAATGAGGCACACTGGGCCTGGCATATGAAACTCAGAGGCCATGTCTAGGGTATTGCCTTATCTGCAAGGGAAGAAGTTGAATAAACAGAAATTTCCAGTTTAAGCAGAATAAGAACTCTCACTATAAGAACTCTCACTAGGCTATTTTGCTTTCATTACATTATAGTTCCACAGCATGGCCACAAATTTTCTGTTCATCAGTCATCATCTAGAGGAAAGGAAGATTTTTATCGTTTTAGAATGTTATAAAAGTCTTTTAAAAATAGCCTAGTGATTAAAATATTGGAATGACAGGAATTTACCAATGTTCAATTGCTCTCATGACCAAAATTTTCCATGTAGTTCATTGTGGAAAACCTTCTTTTGGATTCCCATTAAATACTTGAGAACACACATTTAGAGGGAAATAGAATAGGATTAGAGAAATTTATTTTATATACTATTTATTTTACATGAATTCATAATTTATTTTTTCATTCATCCTTTCACTGAATAAAGTTTTATTTTTCTTTACCTGTGCATAGACTGTTTTGAAGTGTTTGTCATGTGTATAGAGTAAATGCTAGGTGGTTAGCTTCTGACTTAATGAACTACTTGTCTCATTGTGAGATAAAATCATACATAGTCCCTGTGTTTACATCCTGATGTTGATTATTTAACAGAATCTCTGACATGCTGTGGCCCATGATGATTCTCCACATTTTCTGTGCTTGAACCCAAGTCACTGGACCATATTTTACTAAGACTCCAGGACCTTGAGGCCTGTACTACAGGCTGGCACACAGGGTCTTAATCTTGGCTGCACAACGAGATCCCCATTTACCATATGCCAACTCAGGTCTGCTTTCTAGAATCTGATTATTATTCTTTGCATTAGGTTACCATTATTTTTAACCTCCCTGTGTTTCTCATTGGGTCGCCATGAGTTGGATCGACTCAACAATAATGGGTTTGTTTTTCTGTTAGGTTATTATTATTATTTTTTACCTTTGTGTGTATCTAGATTAATTCTTCTTTACTTCAATATTTGGAAATCTAGGTCAGTGTGCTTACCACATACCAAGCTTCTATGTTCAGGCAGAGCATGTTTCTTTGTATCCTGACAGCTTATCATGAAGCACTCTCTGATGAATCATGGCTCTCATTCTTTGAACTCTGCTCTTAGAAGAGCATTTATACCTAACTGTTAATGTGGCATTTTAAAATAGACTTAAAGCATTTTTTCTAATTGCAACATGTAAGAAATGACTTAGAGGCCCAAACTGTTTCCAGGAATTCTCAAGAATAATTACAGGAATATAGAAACATCCAGCTCCCAAGAAGGTGAAAGTCAAACATCTGGAACCCAATTAAAATTTACCAGGATGAAAAGAAGTAGGAAAATGCAACCCATAATGAACAAATAAACCAATCATCAAAATCAAGGCAGCACATAATAAGATACTAGAATTAGCAGAGAAGGATATTAAAAATAGTTATTATAACTATATTCTGCTTGTTCAAAAAGTTAAGGAGAATAATGGTAGATATCAAAAATATGCTTTGTACCTGAAGACATTTAACAGAAAGGCAAGAATGAATAGGAGCACCAAAAAAGTCAATATATTGTGTTGGTGATAAAGTGCTTGTTTGAAGCAAGATTTAGTAGTTGTATGATATTTGCCATGCTATTTAGCCATCTTAAAACATGTTTTCTAGAAAATGGAAATTATAAAACTTAGTTCTTAGGGTTATGTTGGGCTAAAAGTAAATCATGAATACCACGGTGTTTTTTGGTTATAATGAGAGAGTAAGAAGAGTGAAAATATAGAAAGAACAACAACAACAACAACAAAACGAGTTAAAAGTAGGAGAAAAAGATTAGGAGACCTAGAAAAAAAGGTTATTTCAAAAAATCTATATTTCCAGCCAACTACTTCTAGGTTCTGTTCTGTTTTTCCATTTACAGATGGAGAGGAAGAGAAGGAAGAATGACAAAGAAGAGAGAGCTGGGCAGACAAGTAGGTGATAAATAAACCTAGTGCCATGCCTAGGAATTCAGGGGAGAAGTATCCAAAAGAAGAGATCAAATTTCAGGAGGGCAGGGAAAGGTCAAGGTAAGCAAAGATGTTGCACATGGTAGATTCTTTAAAAAGGAAAGAATCAGTAAAGTAGTGGGTTGAATTTCTACTTGAAAGGGCTTGAGGAATAAGTGGGGACAAAGAAATTGGACAAGTGAGCCTGGACTATTTCTAAAGGAAGAAATCCACTTTCGAACAAAGTAGAAGCATATGATTAAAAAGAATGTTCTTTTCATGAAACTCTGGGTTTCGGTTTTCTCTTTCTTTTGCTTTAACAGAGTAGTGGGCTATTTACACTGTATCTTATTTACTGTTCTTTCCTTCTTACGAAAATAGCACATTTGTAGTTCTTTCAGTTTCTTAGCTGCAGTTGGAACAGTATTGAGAAAGTTCCTTCAAAGCCAATGATAATTTGAGTCCCCAGTCAGCATAGGTACTGTCAAGAAAGAAAAAGACAATCGTAAAGCATTTTGAGCTCTCATTAGGCTCCGCTGGTGTCTAATACAGCCCAGAGCACAACAGGGGCTCTCAGGGACATGTGGATAGCCTGAGGAGGCCAGGGTTTCATCTGAACTGCTGTTCCACTTCAGGCTCAGTGTAGCATAGCATGGTGCTGGTCATTTGTTAAGAAAACTAACTGACCTTTATAAATACCTTCCTACCCTGCCCTAAGGTTATTGCAGGCTCTATATCCTGGAGCAGAGATCCTTCAGAGCTGAAGAGAAAGCTGCATGGTGAGAAAGTAGTAAAAATTCTTACCTGTTTTTCCTCTTCAGAATAAGTGGAGTGATTTCTCTTTCTTCTTGGTCTCTCTGGATCCTGGGACTTTTATTTCACCCTTCCCACATCCTGGGGCTTTCTGAGTTTCCTCAAAGTAAGGAGGTGAGTGAAGTAAAGCAAACTTTATGGCAGAATTAGAGTAATATGAAACTGAAAGCACTGAGGGAAGGCAGTGACTCAACAACCATAAAAGATTTTCTGAGAGCTATGATAGATTTTCAGTCACTTCACAAGCATGGGAAAGCTAGACAATGAATAAGGAAGACAAAAGAAGAATTGATGCCTTTGAATTATGGTGTTGGCAAAGAATATTGAATATACCATGTACTGCCATAAGAAAGAACAAATCTGTCTTGGAAGAGGTACAGCCAGAATGCTCCTTAAAAGCGAAGATGGCAAGACTTCATCTCAAGTACTTTGCCAGTGTTATCAGAAGGGGCCAGTACCTTGAGAAGGACATCATGTTTGGTGACATAGAGGGCCGGTGAAAAATAGAAAGATCCCCAATGAGTTGGACTGACACAGTGACTGCAACAATGGGCTCAAACACAGCAACAATGGTGAGGGTGAAATAGTACCAGGCAGTGTTTTGTTTGTTCTGCTGTACATAGGATCACTGTAAGTCGGAACCCACTTTACTGCACCTAACAACAACATGCTAGTGGGAGGGTACATGGGTTTGACACAAATTCTCAACTAGGACCATCAAATTTTATTTTTGACAGACTCTTAGAGATCATTTTCTATGAAAAAATAAAAAAGAAAGAATATCCATTGGATTATTTGAATATAGTGAAATTTATCTCAGGTTTAGAGGTTAATTTGAGAAGCCTAGAATAGGGAAGCATCCTATTACTTTTAGGTTTAATTTCTTGAAATAACTGACACACTCACATTTATAGATGCAATAAGTGAGGGAAAGGACGTGTCTTATTCGTTTATGAATACCCAGCCCCAACCCCACAACCTGGCACTTAGTACCCATACACAGTGAATAGGGTAGCTTCCATGTATTTCATCCTTGTTCCAGGTTTAATAGTGATCTCTTTCCATGGGTTATCTAACATAAATTTCATAATGAATATTTTCCCACAAATTTATAGAAATGAAGACACAGAAAGATTTAATCACTTGTCCAAAAGCACAACACTGTAAGTAAACTGACCCCAAGCTATTTTGATCTTAAGCTCTCTTGTTGAAACACTTCACTACACTGCCTCTCTCTGTTTGCTGAGTGAATAGTAATGAGAAGAAGAGCAGTTTTTCTTTATTGATTGTTTCCTGAACATTACTTATATCCAAGTCTAATTCAGCCCTGACTATAATCATGCAAAATAAGTGATTTCATCTCCATTCTAAGGGGAAAATAGGGAGTGTGAGGGAGGGTATACAACATCCACTTAATGCAAAAGGATGCAGTAAAGGAGTAAATATAAGGCAAACTCCTAATTTTTCCCAATTTGAATAAACAAACTTTTTGAAATGTATAAGAAATAGTAAAATATCTATGTAGAATCTTTTAATTTGTTACCTTAGTTATGCATACATTTAAAATGACCTTATGTTTATGTAATGCAGATATGTTGTTTTTTTATACTCACATTTCATAAAATAATTTTATTCAAGCTCTTCACATCTTTTTTTAACGTTGCAGATTATCATTATTGGTGCTACTTTAAACTCAGTTAAATTATTTTTTCGGAGTGCATTATCCTTATTTCTGTTAAAGTTATTTGAAATGCAGCATTTTTTGAATCAGGGTATGATACTTACTAGATATTTTATCTTAAATAACTGGTACTTGATTTTACACCATTAGTACAATTCTTTCTCCATTATTTCAAATAGCATATGTTTTTAAGTTACTTTTTAAAGGCATCTTTAAAAGGCCCATTCATTTCATTTGAGGTTTTGGAAGTGTTTAATTTTAATACACTTTCCTAGTTGTCCCCAGCATTGTGTTTTTCTTATTCACATAAGCAAAATGAACTAGTTTTGCAAGGACTAGTTCAAATTCTTCCCAATTTTTCCAGTTTCTAGAATTTCCTAAGATCCCATTATCTTATATTCTATATTAACGTTGTTTAAAATTAATGATTTAATGCTGGTACATATTAAAATCTATCTACTATTTTTCTTCCTGCTGAGAATGTTTCTGGCATTTTTTCCCCTGAAAAGATGGGTATTTCATGACTGAGATGTGTTTCATGTCATCTACAAACTTAACTTCTGCAAGCACCTTTTTTTTTAGATTCTCTATAAAACTGATCATCAGAAATACATCTGTTAACATTTTATCATCCAGAATAATCTCCATTTGCAATTGTCTCAGGTTGATTCTCTCTCTGTGAGAAAGCTTTCCTTGCAATGGAAAACACCCACACTCACACGCCCAAGACTGCCTGCATGATTTTTAATGTGTAATAACATTCAATATTTGCAAATATGTAGTCATATCCCCACTGATTTGGAGGTTAATTTATTGAGAAGTCAATGATGCTTTATTTTCAGGACTCCTCTATTACACAAGCCCCTTCCAAGGCCTTGGAAGGGTACGTAGCAATGTGTTTTACATGGTCAAATGTTTTCATACATTTTGCAAAAATAAATTATGTTAGTTCCACTTTTGGAATGGCAGCATGTGGAGCCTTATGGAACTGCTCATCAGTAAAATAAACATATTTGGTTAAAATAATATGAAAAAGTAAATACATTCTATGGAAATTGTCCGAAGGGCATACATCTAATGAAGAAATATTTATTCAAAAAATACTCCTACAACTTGGTAAAAACACTGAAAGTCTATGACACTTGGGCATGACCATCTCCCTCCCCTCCACTCAGTTCACTTTGACAAATGTGGACAACACTCCTCTGAAGAGTTGTAGACAAGAAGATGGTGCTCCTTTTTCTCAACGCCCAATCAGGGGATACAATATCTTCACTTGTAGGGACCTACCACCAACATTTCTCTTACCCTCCAGTTTCTAGATGCAAGGACTAAATCTCCAGTAAGTGTGACCAGAGGCAGTCCACTTTTAAAATAGAGAGTTCCAACTCATCCGCAAGGGAACTGACTTTATTTGAAAGAGTGTGGGGAAGTTCAAGCCTAAGGGCATGAAGAGAATTTATTGTTAGTAGACCTATCTTCCAACAAGTACTAGGATTCTGAGAAGATGGCGGCATAAATAGATCATCATTCTGACCCTTCCTCACAAATACATCAAGAAATACAGCAAGAAAATGGTGCTTGGAGTTCATTGAGCTTCTTGGATATCTAGTTTTATGCCCTTAATTAAAGGAACCCTGATGGTGCAGTGGTTAAGGACTCAGCTGCTAGCTGAAAGATTGGTGGTTCGAACTCATCAGCGTCTCCACAGGAGAAAGATGTGGCAGTCTGCTTCCATAAAGATTATAGCCTTGGAAACACTATGGGGGCAGTTCTACTCTGTCATATTGATTCTCTATGAGTCAGAATCAACTCGATGGCAATGGGTTTGGTTTGGGGTTAGTCCTTTATTAGACTTGGAAAGTTTTCTGCCATTATTTCTTCAAATATTTTTTCAGTCTCTTTTTCTCTTCTTCTTCTGGGATTCCCATCATGCACATGTTGATTTTTTTATGTTGTCCCACAGTTCCTTCAACTTTGTGCAATGTTTTTGATTCTTCCCCCTTGTTGTTCTTTGGCCTCTAATGTTTCCATTGTCTTAGCTTCTATTTCACTGATTCTTTATTCTGCCTGTTCAACTCTGTTATTCAAACCTTCTGTTGAGTTTCTCATTTCAGTTATTGTCTTTTTCAGTTCCAGTATTTGTTTGTTTTCTTTTTATGGTTTCTATCTCATTATTTATATCCTATTCTCATTTTTAATTCATTTTTCCTGATTTCCTTTAATTCTTTGTGATTCTCTTAAGTTCTATGAGTTGAATATTATTGTATTGTATTCTTCCATTCTATTCATTAATCGGGCTTCCATAGATACAATGTTTCTCCTTTCATCTTGTTCATTTGAGTGAGCCATCATTCATCTTTTCTTTTTATTTCTTGTTCTCTTTTGCTGACTTTGGGGCATTAGATTCTTGCTTGATATTAGACTTCTCACCTCACCTAGTATTCACTGATGTTATCACACTGATGTTATAACACTGGTCTTATAAACACCTCTGTTTCCTGGAAGAAACTTTCAGGTGGGAAGAGTCTTCAATCCTTGTTTATTACTCCTGTCCCATCCTCTAGTCCATCTTTCAGCTGGCCTCAATCAGAACTGAGGGCTCCTACTAATCTATGTGTCCACCAGATGGCACAGCTAGTGTTCCTACATCCTCTGTCTCTTCTTTGCATTGCAGCACTTTTCATCATTTTGCAGCACTTCAGTAACAGAATGTGGAGCCCAACAAACTCAAATATCTGCAGGATGCTTGAAAGAGTTCTCCCAGTCCCAGTCTAATACCTCCTCTCACTCTGTGTGATGGTCCTTTGGTTTCCTGCCACAGACCAGGTTCCTCTTCTCTCCTTAGTCAAGGTGTGAACTAATCAGAACTACAGCTACCATCTGTGGGAGGTTCTGAAAGATTCCAAGTGGTCTGTCAGGGAGACCTGTCTCGTCAAGCCTGGCCAGAGTTCAGGGACTATTCTGTGTGCAGACAAACCACGTGATCTCTGGGGCTTGGAGTTTGCTGTAATCAGTTTGCAAGTCCATCTAGATATGCTAGGCTATGCATTGGGGAGCAGTGCTGATGCAGTCAGTGGCCTCAGGGCACTGTGGTGCAGTAAGGGTTGAGAACACAGAGGCTGTTGGTATTTCATAAATACTCTTAATCATGTTGAAGAACTTCCCTACTCTATCTTTCTGAGTGCTTTTATCAAGAAAGGATGTTAGATTTTATCAAATGCTTTTCCTGCATCAACTGCGATGATCATGTGGTTATTTTCCTTTGCTCTATTGATGTGGTGTATTACATTTATTGGCGTTCTAATGCTGAACCATCCTTGCATTCCTGGAATAAACCCCATCTGGTTACAATGTATAATTCTTTTAATGTGCTATTGGATTTTGTTCACCAGTATTTTGTTGAGAATTTTTGCGTCTACATTCAAAACATTTCTTGTGTTGTTTTTGTGTGCTTTGATAATCAGTGCAATAATGGCTTCATAGACTAAAGGAGTATTTCTTCCTCCTCTACACTTTGGAAGAGTTTAAACAGGATTGGTGTCATTTCTTTTCTAG